GGCCAACAGGGATAACAGTACACCAGGAAAAATTCGGATGCGGCATCTGGAAACTTCCTGATTCTTTGTGTAAACTGATTTTTAATGACTTTAATCCGTTAAAATGGAGAGGGGGATGTGGGGTGCTTTCTCAGACATGACTCCAGGAGCAGCAACCGGCTGCGCAGCGGGAGGGCTCTCTCGCCACGGCCCTTCGCCCTCGGCGTCTCCGTCCTCCCGCCCCGCTGCTCCCGGTGGCGGGTGCTCGCGGCAGCTAAATGCTGCTGCTCTGGAAGGGGCTGTGCCGCGATGAGCGCAGCCCTGCGCCCGCCCCTCCGGGATCTCCCCACCTCAGAGCCGTGTCCCAGAGCTCGGGACAACGCGGAGGTATTTCTAGGCCTACTTGCGATTAAGGAGCCTTTGCCTCCTCTGCTAAACGCAGGAGTAATCCTTCCTTTGAGGATTATTAACGTTCACACACCTCTGATGTGTGCAGGATTATTAAGCGTCAAGCCTGGTCGTCTCTCCACTTTCCACCCTTTTTCACATCTCAAAGTCATGACTGGATTCTGCCTCCTTACTTATCCTCAATATCTGCTGAAGACTTCTGGCCCCAGAGCTCTCAGTGCAAGCCCTGCTGCTTATGCCTTGCCTTTCATGTACAAAGCTGTTTACATCTCACTGGAAGTAGGAGACAGGATATTATTTTCAATAGTACTTGAATTGCTACTTGGCTGTTTATGAAATGATACCCTAAAACAGTGTTATTTTCTTCATAAAAGAGAAAAGTAGGCATGTCTATAAAGATGTTGTGTGAAAAGAAATATACAACAAAGATTAAAGAGGAAGGGGAAAAAGGCTGCATTAATAAAACCATGTGTTAGATAACAGCACAAAGGTGGCAAACAAAATTTGCTTAGGGGTCTTAAATATCAAGATCATGGACAAACTAGTGGTTAATTTACTGATAAGAGTTCACATTCAGCTCGTAGCAGATCATTTCTCTGCTATGGTCCATAGCTTTCTTTCTAACAGCCAGTATTACTTTAATACCACTAAGTCTATAGTATTAAGACAGGGCAATCATCATATGGTACAAAGTAATTCATAAAAGAGGGGAAAAAATCTGAATATTAATTTAGGGAAGACTGGAAATTTTCCCAGTTTCCCCCTCTTCTTACTAGAATTACCAATGAAATACAAAGAAAATAAAGACAAGATGCACTGAGAAACAGATGGAACAAGGCCTAGGTAGAAGCACTCTCCATTACTGAATTTTACCTAGATTCACACCTAAGAGAAACCTTAAGCAGAAGGCAGACGGCTTCCACGGCACAGCCGGCGGCTGACGGCAGACACCCGAGCACAGCACAGCGCTGGAATGCACATCTCCAGGAGCACACACTATGCATACCAATGAAGAAGGATGAATAAAAAGGAACAGACAGATGAAGAATGAATACATGGAATGAAAGGAGCAACAGAGTAAGGAGGAAGCACCTTTATAATGGACCAATTAAATTGTTAAATTAGTTCTTAGCTATGGTTTTAGATAGGTGTTTATATTTGTATCTGCATATCAGTACTGGAAAGTGTGATAAGCTTCAACTAGGAGTGACAAAAGTGAACTCAGCATTAAGGAAAACATATACTCTTACAGCACCGTACAGCCATTGTGCTATTGCTCCAAACACTACTGTTTAATTCAACTTTCAATATCCATACATTGGTTGTGAAATTTGCCCTTATTTCTATACAAAGAAATACATTAAAATTGTGTATCCAAGGGCAGAATCCAGCTTCAGAGAAATAATCAGGACTCCAGTGCTGTTCCAAGCACCCCACTCCTACGTGGTTCCACTGCTGAGCTTTCCTTGCATTTACACTGCTTTTTGGGTCCCTTTGGAAAGCCAAGCAGATATTCTTGAGGAATAAATCATCCCTCTAAGCTCAGTAATTTCAAGTAAGACTAGCTGGTTGGAAGAAGCAATTTTCTCAGCAAGCTTCAAAAAGTTAAACTTTCTGCCCTATTTTCTTCCATACAAGTTTGTTTTTTTTAAATCATATTTGCAGTTTGGATAACAGGTATTATTAAAATATTTACCATCTTTCCAATAGACTACAGTGTAAAATTAAGCCTGGAAAAACTCAACCATGTATATATCATATGATTTTAATACTTGAAATTTAGCTGTCTCATAACTACTGTATTCACCTTTTCTAGAATCCAAACAGTAAATAATGTCTCTGCATACTAATAAATCCTTAACTTAGATTTTTAGAAAGTATATACTGTACAATACTAAAATCATCTTTGGTCCCCAAAATAAGGAAATTACAAATTTACATTTCTTGTTTATAAAGTATATCAGAGATTATTTTCGGAAGTTGATATTCTGTTTGAATTCTACCCTGAAAGCTGTGCTGAGCTCAAGTCGTTACGTAATAAATAAGAGCATACTGTTCTCAGCCGCAGACAACTCGGTTTCGCGTGTGAAAGCACTTGGTCATACAGATACACTACACCACGTGGTGCAGTATTACGCTGTATTAGAAGTGTTCCTGTGTTTCATTCATACCAATCAAGAAGTATTTGTCATTCAAGCAAAAAGGGCAAAAGCTTTTCATAATCTTACTTCAGAAAAAGCCCTGCAAAGTTCTCTAAGTAAGGAAAGGTAAAAGTCATTGTAAGATACCAAGTTTAGGAACTTAGAGATGCAAGAGACCATCCCAAACCTCTGAGAAACCCAAAAGACTGGAGCAAGCACAAGGCTACGGAGCAGGAAAGGGAGGTCCCGGTGCCACCCGCGTCCTGGCGGTGCCACCTCCGTCCCTCGCCGGCCAGTGGCCCCGGCGGTGCCTGTGCCACCGCTCCTGCTTCCTGACCTCGGGTGAGAGCTCCACTCCCAGCGCACCCGCCTCCTGCAGCCCCGCTCTGCCTTTGCGCAGGGCTGTTTGTTTTTGTCATGTTTGCACAGTCTGCCTTAATACCAATGTTGATTTCCAGTCTAGAGCTGTGTTACTTTTAAGAGAGTTATGGTTTATAGACATATATTTTTTAATAATAGGGAGTGCCTAAAAATTCTCCTTGTAGAATTTGTCTCCCTACTAAGCAGGGAGTGCTGAAAACCCATAGGATATTGGCTATCAACTTCATTATTTAATGCTACCCTGAACACTGAATATTTTACTTTTCATAGAGACACTCAGCGGTCCCAACAAAACACCTCCTTAATAAAAACAGCTATGTTTTAAACCCGGCAACAGAGGTTAGTTTGAATATCTTGATATTTTAAAATCAGTGTTCCCTTTGGCATCAGCTTTCAATGAAACATAATAAGATATCAGATATAGCAATTGGAAAGCCACTACTGGGTTAAAAGGGCACGTTTTCTTTAAACTCATTAATAAGTTCTTTGTACTTTTAATCTTAGTCTTGGCCATTGTGGTGAAATGTAAACAACTAATAAACTGCATAATGAAAGTACATCAGTTATTTGGTTTTCACATAACAGAATTATTCTCTGTTGCTTGATTTAAACATTGCAGCATAAAGTTCAAATCCATTTCTCTGCCACTTTCTTTCAACATTAAAATAATTCCAGCTATTTGTACCGTTCTTCCATTTCATAAAACTGCTTTTTAAAACCTGTATGCTATATTTAAAAGCCACCTGACATCTATTGCCTTTTGTTTGCAAGATTCCCATTAACCACATTCACCCCCGCTGGGTACCGCTACATGGGAACACTCGTACACCAGAAGTGCACAAATCAGATGGGGGACAAATTCAGGCGTACGTGGCAATTCAAGGATACAATTACAGTAACTTCAAAGATGTTATCAGCTTATACTGGGTAGGAATTCAGCTCTAGAGATCATCTTTCCAGACATTTTCTTCACATAATATGCAGGCACATAAATGGCAAATGATTGATTACATAAAACATGAAAATATTGAGGGATACCTTCCCAAAACCACTGTGATACTTTCTGATTATTCAAGAATTCAAGTTTTAAGTAGATAAAGTATCCTCCTCTTCATTGGAAATGCAGTAAAAATAAGAAAACTTCAATCAGGTAAAACCATTCATAAGCAAATCAATATAACCATATTTTCTTTCAATTAACAAAACTCATTTTTCCAAAGGAATGTTAGAAGAGTATTTTCCTGACACACCCAAATCAAGAAGTCATTGTTTTGACCTACTACAAACAGTAGTAATTTTAGAAGAAATCAACAACCCCCCAAAAGTATTTTCCTACATGAATCACAATATTGCAACCTATAAAATGTTTTTAAAGATACCGTAATTTTTTCCTATTCTTGCTCTCAGGAAAGTTGAACCTTAAAAACAAGCAAACAAACAAACATGAAACTATGACTGGAATGCAAGTCCATCGGAAACCCCTTCTTTCTTGCCTTCGTTGCTGTGCCCTTCAATCCCCTTTCCCCGCCTCTGCATTTTTTTCCCCATTGTGGAACAAACAAAAACAGCACGTATCCCAACACTGGCAGAAGACATACTCGTACCGGATGCATTATGATGACCATTTGGGAAACACGCTAATCTCGCACAAATTCAGATCACACATGAACCGAGTGTGACAATTTCAGAGCAATTCACAAGGCAGCTACCTTATTGCTACATCTATCAGCCCCCAAGCGTGACAGGGCCGCCCGTCCCGGCTGCGTACGTACATGAACCAAGGAACTGCACCAGGTCCTGCAGGTGACACTGGAACTGCACGGCTCAGGCTGCAGGAGAAGGCTATGGAGAGCTGCTGGACACAACACATTGCTGAAGTTATTGCTGTTTACCCCAATCTACTTTTGGTGAACTTCTTTTTCTTGTAATAACCAAAAATACAGTGTTGGTCTTCATGTTTATGGTGGATGAAGAAATAGTGGTAGAACACACAGAGCAGAGCTTGTACTTGGGAGAGGGAAGAAAAATACTATTCAGTTATTCCAAAATATTAACATATTTTAGATATATATGTATCTATATATATATATAGATCTTGCTTTTGAATGACCAACATTTATTCTCTTCATGACAACAGCTTCTGACTCAATGCATCTCTGCACATACGCAGGGCTGGGCATGCTTTGCCAGTCTGATCTTCCTTTTCTTCCTTAAATAAAGGGGGGAGAAAAAGCCCTTTATTCCATGAGGGAAACGTAAGTACTCCTTTTTCCCCTTGCAGTCCCATTTGGATGTCACTGTCATGCATCCAGACGTTGAATCTCGGGGCGATGATCTACTTCTCTCGATTCTGTCCGAGCACGTATGTAATCACTGCTCTGCCGACTGTTCTGTTGCCTGTTCATTTGCCACTTTTTGATAGCTAAGTATGTGTTCACAGCATACACTGCCATTGCCAAGAAACCAAATATCTACAAGAAGTGGAAAAAACTGTCAAAGACAATTTTTGAAAACAAGAACAACAGTAGTTTCATAACAAATCCCTCAGCAACTTAGTTTTCTACTTTATTAACACTGACAAATTGTTATGGTCAGTAAAAATCTATGTTTTGCTTCTTAAATCAACTAGAGAATCTACAAACGCTACTAAGATCAATGAACATAGAAACCAAAGTTCTCAGTCTACAGAGACACTGTCAATTAAACAACCCTGAAGAGCCAACTTGAAAGGAAGACTTCTTGGAAGTAAAGAATATAGCTCTTTATCCAGCCAACAGCTCATTCCTCAGGATGCACGTGAGAACGACAGAGGTGAACAGTCCAGACTACCAACCTACGAGAGGAGCCAGTTTGCAGTTCCGTCAGTATGTTTCTGCACAATTGGTGGGGGATTTTCAATACCCAGGTTTCCAAAACCAGGAGTCTGCCAGCTTGACTACAAAATTAGTGCATTTGACTTCATCATTCTAGATTTAAACATAAAACGAAATACTACTATTGTCTTCTGTAAAAGAAAACCAAGCTGTAATGAACAAGAACTCAGCAAGATCATGTGCAAGTGGCTCCAACTTCATCTAGATTTAAACATAAAACGAAATACTAATATTGTCTTCTGTAAAAGAAAAGCAAGCTGTAATGAACAAGAACTCAGCAGGATCATGTGCAAGTGGCTCCAACTTCACCCGAATTTTTGGTCATCTCTCTTTTGCAGGTTTGCTGTGTAAGGCAATAATACCTAAGCTAGCTGGGAGAAGCAAGGGAGATTAATTTCTTAAGGGTTTACACTTTTTTTCCCCCCGTTTGTTCTTGCCTCAAAAGCCTTAAGACGTACATCTTGAAGGCATCAATATTTTCAAAAATCACAACTAGTACAGCCAACTAAAACTTTAAGTATACTGGGCTGGTGAAGCAAACAGAAGTTTTCAATTAACATGATGGAAAAGTTATCCTTAGTTTTAATACAAAATACAAGTCTCATTTAAAGAAGTTCAAATTCTCTTACCACAGCAGCAATTTCTGCTCCAGTTTTATGGTTTAAAGCAGCGAGTACTACAGAGGCAATGAAAAAGAAGAAAGTGCTGAGTCCAGTGTTGACCAGATCCTATAAAAATAAATTCATTAGTATTACTAAACAATGATTCTTAGCTTGCTTTTAATAGAATTGGTGAAAAAGACTAGAACAAAAGCTATATATGTGTGTGTATATATATATATGTGTGTGTATATATATATGTGCATGTGTATATATATATGTGCTCTGTTAGTCTACGCAATGAGAATCAGCAGCTGTTCCCAGCCGACACCACAGCCACCTCAATCCCAACCTGTACCCTTAGCTGACACTCCTGGAACTTTTCACACCACAGTTCTTGAATCGCCCAGATAACATGCATTATCTACAAACTCTCTTAAGCCTTATTCATAAACAAGTACATGTCCTATAGCACTCCTATGAATGACAGCTACCCATATTGTCAAAAATGCACTGGTACATACATATCTATTGCACAGATCATGGCATATTTCAAGCAGACATTTTAAAATACACCTGTACACACATAAAGGCACCCCCAAGGGCTTCTAGAGGATCAGGTAAAATTCTTGCTTTGTTTCAAGCATAGAACAAAAGCAATAACCAACACACAACTCAGTGAAATGTGTGCAGCATGTGTCAGTTTTCAGGTAATTGTGTGTGCTTGCCATGCCTTACAATTACATATTGCTGGGTCATAGCAGAATTCTGAATGGCAGCTACTGGGAAAAAAAAAAGGTAATTCAACACCGTATTATTTGATCACACTCAAAAATCTAAAGGCCTAGAAACTTTAAAATAAAAGGAGAATGAAAGGAGGATTTGTTAGAGATGAACTGCTTTATGTTATTCTGGGCCTCTTTCACTTCTTTTTTTCCCCCCTTTTAAAGTTTGATAAATATTGCTCTGGAGCCCATACTCAGAGATAAGAACACTAAATAGCTTCTAAGGGAGGTAGGAAATATTCTAATTACAACTGAAATCATGGGTGGAGAGTCAGGGAGAAAGCAGAGGTGAGGAATGACATTTCAGCAGGGCTAATCCAAAGGAGCATAACTAAAGGTGAACACACTATCATAGTCAAAAGGAAGGAAAAGAAAAATCCCTAGGCAAGTTTGCTGTGCAGCATACAGTTCTGAGTTTGAAAAACACAACAATGAGCATACTCGCCCTTATTTCCCACCACTAAAGAAAATCACTGCTTTTAAATTAGAATTTAAATAGAAAACATCCATACTAGACCTTTCTATTTTAAATGTAAAACAAACTTCCCATTCCCACTCCTCCATTTACTACAGTATAACTTTTGGCAAAGGGCATCTAATCTAGTGCTGTTAAGAAGTTATGCTTAGAATACCCAAAAATCTGAACTTAAACTTATTCCCTGGCCAGAATTCTGTTGACTAGGTACCTAGCGGTCCTACAAAAATTTCTGCGCCTGGTGAAGAAAGAAGTGATTAAATCCAAAAGCATCTTTTATTTTTCTAGCTATGATTTGAGAATGCTTTAGAAAAAATAAATGTAAAAATAGAAAGTTTCTGATGCTGTTTTGTTCACACAGAAAATTATGCATTCAAGGATGTCAACTCACCTACAGCTGGCTTGATGGTCATCTAAAAGAGAGAGATTCCTGAGCAATTTGAGAAATATCCATCCATTCCTCAACACTATTGCTACCCATGTATTCAGACTTAATGAATGCAGGAAGACCCAAATACTAAGGAAGCAAAAGCTGGTTGCAAGTATCTTGGAAAATCCATGTAACTATTGCTATCTTTTCACCTGCCAGCATGCAATTAAAGACCGATACTTTGCAACTCTGTTAGAGCTTGCTGGGACATATTTTATGTGATACTTAGAGCGCGCAGAGACATTAAACAAAACTGGAATTTTATTTTAATGATACTTTTTTTTTTTTTTTTTTTTTTGCATTGCAGAGCAAGATATAATAATAGGCACTTCACAGCTTCTCAAAGCTTCCTCTTGCTAAGGTTAGCAGCACGCACATGCCGGTAGGGTCTCCAGCAAGAGCTCTGCCTCTCACCTGCACAAGTGTGAGCTCTCACTGCTCTGTGAGCCACCACGTGTCAATCCACAGCACCCAACAGCATCCAATATTTTCAAGGAATTTTCTACCGTAAATCCATGCCACCAGGAATGCTGAAACTGTACATACTGAGGAGAGGGCTGGTGCACTGGCTCTGCCTTTCAATTAAAGGAAGGGATGCTAGTCCAAGCAAAGGCCAGACATCAATTTGACTACCTGAATACATCGGCAACCTAACAGAACAGAGACAGACTCTTGAGAGAAATAGTTCTGAGAAAAACTTAGCAATTACAATAGGTAAGTACCTCAATATGTGAAACTATGGGAGGGAGGGAAAGGAGAAAGAGCACTTATACATTCCTCTGGACATATGGACACAATAGGTGTAGGGAGGAAATCTTACCTTGTAAGGGACACTGGAATGCTGCGTCCTGTTCCGGTATCCACATTTTTAAAAGTATGTTGAAAAATTAGACAGGGTACAGAAAAGAGCCACAAAAGTTATTTGAAAGAAGGAGAAAATTTCTCACAATATGAATCAAAGAACCTAAACTGCTTTGAATATTAAAAGATTGAGCTGTGTACATGAAGATGCCAGTGTTCAAATAATCATGAAATATTAGCTGATACAGAAAAGTTAAGCTTAGCACAGAGAAGCACACCAAAACCAACAACGTAACAAAATCAACAGCTGAAAGGTTAAGCCAAAAGTCATTTTCAATTTATTTTTAAACAGTAAGTGAGCTGGCCTCAGAACTAACTACGAAGGATGTGCTGAATATTCCACCTTTTCATTTCTTATTAGCCAGATGATTTTTCCTCCAGACGCAAGTTTTGTACTTGCTTAACACTATATTCAGAGAAGCCTAACTGGTGACATATAATTGTCCATGATTTAGAAGGTGAGACATGCTTATTCATTCTGCTGACCTCTGACATTCTGAATCTATCAGCTTGATGAGCCTGTCAAAGAGAACACTATGAACAAGATAGCTGAACCTATCCACAACTTAGCACGCATTATCATCTATCTACTGCCATAAGCTGACTCCAAGGCTTCTCAGAAGTTTGACACATTGCAGAATATAACATACAGCTGAAAACAGACTGCCAGTGCCTGTATGAATCTATCCAGGATTCATGTATGTTGCTGACAAACTTAAGGCAATTACTGACATTTTATCACATTCTTTATCAAGATCATGAAATTTCTCCTAGCACAAGAATCTTAGAGTTCAGATCTAAAGACTAAATTTAATTCATCTTGAGGTTCCAACTGATCAATTTCTACAGTCTTATTTTTCCATTTAATTCATCTTGAGGTTCCAACTGATTTCTACAGTCTTATTTTTCCCTAGTTATGTCAAAATCTTTTAGTGTAATTAAATATTGTTTCACATCCATATAATGAGGTTCGTTTTGAAAAAACTAGAAGTAGAACAGTTTTTCATATCTGAATACAACTATTTGGAGTATAAGGAACAATGACACTTAACGTTGTCATATAGGTACATAATGTTAACATCACAAATTTAAGTATTGGTGGTGGTTTTTAGTCCAAAATTAGTAATTCCTAGTTAGAGCAGAAAGATAAGAAAGGAATAACACTGTGATAGTTTTGGAAGACATCAGAACAGAAACAAAAAAGAATGAACGACAGCGAGAATTCAAGAGGCAAAGGACACTCCCTAAAATAATGTAGCTTTTCTTCTATGTAAGAGAAAATGAATAATCATGACAACAAAAAGAATAAACTAATTGAAAGAAGATGAGCTGCTTCAAATCTGGCCATGATGTAGCTGGAGTTCTTACTATTATAGACAGAGTAAAAACCACATCACACAGCTAAAAGAATTTCTGCTGAAATTACAGCAGCCTCATGAGACAGCACGATGTGCCATAACACACTGTACAAAGCTGCCATCCGTAACAGAGAATAAAATCTATGAGCTGAATCAAATCCACTAGACTGCTTCTGCTCCATTTACCCTTTCCAAAAGGATTTAATGGAAGATTGATTTGTTATCCCTTCCTGGTTATTCCCAAGCCATTTTCTTCAGTTACCAATGTCCTAGTAGTGGTATTAAACAAAAGGAGAGCACCCAAGGACATTTCCTTGCTGCCATGTATGATACTACCATCTGCAGCAATCTGTCCCACTCGGATGGCATGGAGGGCAGAGGAGGCACCTTATCTGAAACTCTGGAAGAAGACGGGTTATGCCAAGACAGTGTTTTCATAGTAAAGTTGGCTGCTGTTTCATCTTGCTGATCCTGCTGTAAAGGTGGGAATCCCTAGGGAGAAATGGACAGCCGGGAATGCTCGTTCCTGAAAGCAGGATACATCACAGGCTCAGACGAAACGAAGCAGCTCTGGAACATGGTGAGAAGAAGGGCAGCACATTCCAGGGTCTTTCATTTTTAAGGGTCAAGCCCAGACATGGCTCTTGGACTAGGCAGGTTGGAAAGACTGAATTGGTGATGTGAATATGAGAATTCTGTTAACAGACAGAAAAGGTGTCTCCGGAAACCACAGAGGACATCAGCTACAAAACCTGGCCAGAGGTGCTGGTGATATCCACGCACGTCTATCCATACCTCTCCTTTACCTTTAAGGGACAGTCAACCAAGGTATCTGCTGGTGCTTTTTCTCCTATATTTTGCAATAAAGGGACTACACGAGTGACCATGTACTATTCAAAAGTGCCTTACACCAACAGTTAATGAAAACCATGACATTTAAATTAGATGCTTGCTTCATCACTTCCTTTATAAATTCAAGAGTTTACATATAGAAGAAGCTCAAAACAGCTAAATGAGCAAAAACTGGAGAAGAATTTATACATTTTAACAGCTTGAATTTCACACAAAAGGTCAAAGTTGGTGGCCTACTGCCACCCGAGTTAGTTTCTACAAATCAGAGAGCTCAAAGTAACATCTCCTGCTCCCTTTTTTAAACAATACCTCTAGTTTTCCTCCAACCAATATTTTATTTGCAAGGTTGTAGAAAATTTCCCCTTGTTTCTGCACAAACCTATCAATTTGAAGTTTAGAAACATACCAGTCAATCCTTGACCAAACATCTCTGGTCAAACTCCCACAGTTTCACCCTGTAATCATGTTATTAAACAATGCATGTGTATTTACATTGGAATTACTAATGAAAATACAGTTTATGAGAAAGAAATCTCTCTTGAGTAGAAAGAACCAAGCTAACTGTAGGAGCATCAATGCCCAAACGCCCGGAGGGGCCACTGCAGCACCAGCTGCCGGGGCAGGAATCAAACCTCAGCGCGTGGCACTGCTGGAAACTGGTTCTTACTGCAGTATCGTGAAGTCTGCATACAACTGAAGCACTGGAAATGACTGGCAAAAACCTCAAACAACTCTCGGAAAGGTCAGGGACAAGCCATAATTTTGGAGAAATGGAAGACTCATACAATTTTATTCTTATTTCTATTTTTGAGTTGGAAAATTGGTTCTGTTAGAAGTGGTATTCATATAAATGATGAAAAGATGTTGTTTCTGAATGAATGTTTTTAGATTCCATGTTTCATCTTGGTTTTCTGAAGTTTTCTTGTTCATTTCCCCCTCAATTCTACTTAACTGCTACTAACTTGTCTTTCTATACTCATTTTTCTGAGAAGCAGTCCTGCACATGGACAGGAGCAGCAATTATCTTCACAGTGTAACAGACCTACATTAACCATGCAGGTTTTCCAGCATTTTAAACTTCTGTTTGTATTTATTACAGAATAAAGCCTTGCTATTTACATTGTGCTGCATCAAATAACTATATACCTACAGAATGCACCTGAAGCAGATAATTCTGACAACATTTTTAAAATTTTTAAAGTATTCTTTTTATCCTTAATAGGCATTGCTCTTGACAATGATAAAGGTAAGGACCACCTTCTCAATTTCTCAGTCAATAGCTAAGCAAGCAAGCCCAAGAAAACCGGCATGTTTTTTCAAAAAAGGAAAGCTCAAGATCACCCTCCGAAGGTCTTAAAAGTGCAACTTTGCAATTACACTATTCAGAGCCAAGACTGATAAAACATTTTATTTTTTTTGGCACCACGAGCTTTTCGCGCAGTACTTCAGTGCCAGTGCTTGCACAAAAGGTGCTCCATCTCTGCAACAATGAAGCAGATTTACAGGCAACACAAAAATACAACTGCAAAGAAGTACACCTGACCCCCACTGTCACCCTGTAGTCCTGCTACCCAAGGGCAGAGTCTAAGCAGAGTTTAAATGAGTTTTTATTATGTTTGATCACTTTTGAGGTTGCTCATTAATAACTTTGCATGTTCAGAACTGCACATACAAACTACTTCCAGAATTCCAGTGGATGTTTAAAACTCAGATGGTCAAAATTATACTGGAAGATTTATTTTCTTCTACATGGACATAAATTGTCCATACATCCTGATGATGCAATGATTTTTCTGTATTGACTCAAGCTTACCTCATTATACAACCTCTCATCTAAGACTGTAAAATTCCTGTATTCAGAGCTGCTTGTCATCACTTCTTCCCCCTCCCACTAAAGTCCTCTCTGTTCTCAGCACGGAAAGGAGAAGGCTGCAAAATTACTGTGGCTTGACTCTGCTGTGACAGTAACTCTCAGAGATCGGCATGCAAATGTATCAGAACAATTAAGTTACTACAAACAGCTCTGTTAAGCTTATTACCCTGGCTCTACTTCTTTCATCCATACTGCTTGGAAGCAAAACCTCAGACTTTATTTGTAAGTAATTTGTGATTCAGATAATAAATAAAAAGGAATAATTTAGACAGACAAATAATAATAAACATTCAGTTAACTCAGAATAGAAACATTCGAAAGCAGCAGCTTAACTAGTCTGGCAGCAATCTATGCTGTAGGACAGGCTACATTCCCCAAAGCCACTTGCAAGTATCCTCGCAGAATAAGTTTCCTTTCAGCCATGAAGCGTAAAGAAAATGGAAATTTCCACTGACAGTTTCCCCAGCTTTGCATTTCTGCGTAACATTGATAGTGCTACACAACACAGACAAATGACTGTTCTTTTATCTTACTGTAGCAAATCTGCCTCTTTCCTGTGCACTCAAGCAAGTTTCTTTTCTGGCCTCGCCATCTCCATTTTCTTTGGGGGAATGTGTATGTCAAGAAACTTTGAAGATGGCTGGCAAGTCTCTAATTAGATCAAAGCAAAGCTCTCTTTTCCCCAGATGTCTAGAAATATAAAACCTACAGAAAGCTAAATTTGATAAATTTGCATATCTATGTTAGCTGCTAGCATATACTGATTCATGTTCATTTTTATCAGGGATAAGGGACATGAGATCTTTCTCAAGCATTATGGATACTGTGTCAGTTGAATAAACTACTGAAAGGAACAATCCTGTGCTGGACAATAGAGGCCGAGACCCAGAACTTTCAATATATGTATTGATGATATGAAACAAATGACTTTCCCAAAAGGTTTGTGCCTGCACGGTGTCTAAAGAAATACTTTTCCCCATTATCTCTTTGGATCAGCTGCACGAACTGAAGAGAAAGCCGTTGCAGTTTATCCCACCTGGCCTTCCCGCTGAACGCTGAGCACACTGCAGTGCTCCGTGTTGGTGGGACATGGGCTTACACATGTCACCATTCCCCTCGTTCTTCAAACGCAGGAGTTCAAATCAAAACACTTCACTGTAATTAGCTGGATTTTAAGCCCTCTCTTTCTAGAGATCTGTATCAGTGCTATGCACAAATAATGCTGCATTCAAAGCAGCAATTTGGTCGTTCCTTCAGTAAGAAGCCGAAGTGTCTGAAAGGGCCTAGCAGTTCACCATCAAAGCCTACTGCATCATCTGGGAGGGAAGAAAGCAGCAGCATTCAGCCTGGTGTGCTTACATATATTCAATGTATTATCAGAGCAGTAAAACACCGTGCTCAAAGAACAAAAATGACAAGTAGAAGCAAGGGTATGTGAAGTCACTGAGCCTTCCAGAGATCTCAATTCAGCCAAATCATGGACACCGTGCAACATTCAGTGGTTTCCTGGCTGAAACATTCTTATCCAAGCCTGCTTTCAGTGAAAGCAGGATCTATCTAGTACTCAGGGTGCAACAGCTCACATCATACAGGCAAAATACCATCTATTTTCTGAGACACGGATGCACTGCAGAGGTACCATGCACCCGCACACCTCGCTGCACAGCACAGCGCTCTGGTAAATAAGGACCATCTCCAGTTGCTGTTAGCAGCAGTCAGGCTGCTGGGGTGCCTAGTAAACAACAAGACAGGCAACGAAAAGAGAGACTAACTCCTCACTGCAGCTGCTGCTTTCCTACTTGCTGTGAAGATAAATGGTAAGAGTACAGGCAGAACGGATATGGAACATGCAAAGGGAAGACAGTTCAATAAATAATTGCACTGGTCCCAGGGGTTTTGTTTTGCAAGCCACCTGGATCCCCTCCACCTACATAGCTACAGTCACAGTTCTCAGTCCACCTATTTAATTAATCTAACAAATACTCCTAGGAAGAGTTCCTCAAGAAGTCATACAACTCCAGGACACAAAGGATTTTCTATTTCCACATTCAATTCTCATTTCAGACAAGTCATTTAGGCTTATAAAGTTTTTGTTAATATACGTATTACAAGATTAATAATTTATTAAAAAACACACACTGCCAAAAAAACCTCTAGGTCTGGTATTTGACAGTATCTCCTAGAGTATTTATAGAATTACTATTATAAAATAAAACAGAGCATGAGGACACATATATATACATTAAAAAATATATAGTGTCAGAAGAGGTTGATAAAAATATTGTCCTTAAAGCCATAAAACTTTGTTAGAGTGACTAATGCGTTGATTTTGTGACCTATGTTTATGCAACCAAATCTGAAAGTTTAACTCCTAATAAAGCATGAAAATGGAGACTTGTACAAAAGGAATGTGCACTGCCAGCACTTCTTTTCCTAAAGCTCCTTGTATTTGAGAACATTAAGCACTGCCAGTCAATGTTTAATAGTTATGTATGTAAGCAATTCAATAAACCTGGTTTTCTCTTGCAGAAAGCTTTATTTAAAAATAATAATAAAAAAATTAATATCATCATTGGGTTGTAGCGTAAAAAATTATATGCAGCACTGTCCTAATATAAAAACAGCTTAGAAAAGAACAGGCCACAGCAAACATTATCTCCTCTTTTCAATTTCATTTACAAGTCTTATAAATGCACTTCCTAACTCCGATGATAGCATCTGTCAAATTAAACGATTACAGACTGTTTTTATCCACTCCATCTACAAACAATAATTGCTGGCACTAGCAGCAATTCTCTTCTAACAGAAAACCTACCAGGAGACAGTCTCAGTTCTATTTAGTGTTGTTCAATCTTATCATATTTCAGAGACCATTCTGCTTTTAGTATTCAATACAAATGTAAGTAAATTGCACACTCTATTCAAAATAAACAGCTCTCATTTTTAAATTATTAGCAGAAAGCAAAGTTCAAAGGCTATATTTAAGAAGATTTGTGGCCATTTTTACAGAGTGAAGATTTGTATGAACTTACAGTAAGATTCCAGTTGATCTGTGGTATTCTTGTGTGAAGATTCAGACTGAACATAAGCAACAGAACTCCAGTAACCACCAATGCGCTGCAGCTCACAAACTCAAAGAAATAAAGGCCTTCGCAAGGGGAGCATTCCATGATGGTCTCTATGCAGATGAATGCAATCAGTGCCAAAACCTAGGAAGAAAAACAAGTGGAAAAAATATAAATAGATTTCCACATTTTGAAAATAGCCACAAGTATTCCTGAAATTTCCATTGGGAACATGATCAGCTTACACTCAGGAATGTGCAATTTTAGTTTATAACAGGGTACTGTCTAAGAGCAAACACAAAAGCAAATTAATACAAGACTTTCTGGATATCTCCTGTTCAATAAAGACTTTTTTTCTGTAAAATTCTAAGTCTAACATCAAAAAATGAAATCCCTTCAGGACATTAGCTTAATATGCAACATGGATCCCCAAATGCTTTATTTCACCTTTTTACTCATAATATACCATGCCAAAACTTGAAGATATAATTCATCGGTCTGTAAGACTAACCTCAAGCTCAATTACATAGTACTAATACAGTGTGATTGTAAAAGTCGTTTAAAAGTCTTTCAGTAAAATTGCTATTTAAAATTCACTTTCAGCTTGAAATATAAATCGTCTAAGAATAGCACAGGTTCAGGATCTGTACCTGTCTCCACATCCCTCCCTCTTTTTAAACCATCAAAGTGTTTATATGCAACACAGAACTGATAAAACATGTTTTTATTTATAAGGCAGTGAAAACAGCAACTAACGTATGGAAAAAAAGGCACAACTACAGTCCTAGAGCTGCAACCATAGATATCTAATGGGGACAATCATTAACCATCCCGAACACAGAAAGACATGGTGACAAAGTTCAGAGAAAACCAGCCTCTTGCAAGATGGGAGTTTAATTTGATAGATAGGCTGGAACAGTGGAACTTGCTACATGTGTCCAATGCATAAAACTAAAATCTAACAAATCTATAGCAATATTAGCTACCATTTGTTCCTACAGCGTAGGATAGGTATGTAAGCATACATTCCCAAATCTTCAAATAGATCAGTGAAATAAGCTGGATACTTTTCTCATTTTCATGCCAAGCAAGGAGGGCCATAATACTGTTTCGCTCCTTTTTGAAGGCAACAACTTCTTGCCTGCCCACTCGGCATTTCTCAGAAAGAATTAATGTTCTTGCTTTGCCACAAAATCCTGCTGATGTTAGTCAAATCACTTAAATTGGAGGATAAAGAACTTAAAGAGAAAGTCTTTTTGAAGCTAAAAAACTTAATTCCAGTGTTTTGCACAAATAATACTTAAGTTAAAAAGGTTAAATAGTAGCCACAATGCAAAACAATTTCTGCTAAATTGTTCTTTGCATATTTCAATAATGTTTTGCAGATATACTCTTTCTTCTAACACTTTTTTATTACAGTTTATTTAACACTTCTTTAGGCAAGCATGAGCTGTGGTAACAGAACAGGCTTTTCTGGTCAAACAAATTCTGAAGGGATATCCAGTGACTAAATGCCTTCAAAAACAGAGTAACTTTGGATTTGCCTTTCCCATTGAAAAGCTTCAAAGAATACTCACTGAAACTGATCAAAAAATAGAAATGGACGCTACTCTTCTTTCAGTAATGTGACACTAAAAATAAAAACATTCTGTGCAACCCACAGCTTCATTTTACATTATTAGTTTGCAATGATGTGAACAGAAGCTCCATAACCGAACAACAGTACCTACAACATATAAAGAAAATAAACATCTAAGAAGTATCTTAATTTTTTTTTAAGCAAGAACAATGTCGAAGAGTAAAACTAAGCATTAACTAGCAAGATTTTAAACTTTTACATGTTTCAATATAATAAAGTCTCCAGTGTTCTTGCCACTATTTGTGGATTTATTATGACACTTCTAGGACTTATATTGTTTTTTAAAAAAAAGTGTTTTTGGAATAGTCTATAGAAATACTGTAGTTCAAGTCCAAATAATATGAACAGCTCTCAGTCGTGCCACCAACATTAGGCTGAACGAAGCGGGCAGCCCGCACACCAGCCTGGGCACCGTCCCGCACTGGGCAGCTCCTCCTCAGCTGAGTCTCAGTTCTTTGGCTGATGAAAACTGGCTTCTTTCATACCAGATGGCATTGATTTTCAAGGCCAATATACTCATCGTGCCAGACAAGGCCCTCAAAAGGCAAGAGTTTCTATAGAAGCAGAGTTAAATTAAAGGTGCACTGAAGAGGCACTTGGGGCAACGAACTGTTACCACTAAATAACACTAAATACACTCCAGCACCATCGTACATTATTCTAGGTGGTGGCAGCCTGAAGTCCATCAACATGTTCAAGGGGTGATCTGGGAGAAAAATCATCTCAATTGCTCCCACTTATGATGGGGGATTCGGCCAGCAAAGGGGACGCTGATATTCTGAAGACCTGAGCTCGACCCTGCCTCGATACACAAGGGAGCGTTGCCATCTCAGAGCAGCCCAGGACGCCGGGCACTAGGGGAGACAGGGAAAGGAGAACGTTCCCAAGCACACAACTTTGATTTGCATCACATCTGCACTGCAAATAAGGTTCCAAATTGAATTAATCCGCCCCAAAAATTACCCTTCCTACCAGTGCTACAGATAATGCCTTTCTGTTCACCATCCACTATTTATATCGCAATGAATGCTATGACTAAAAATAAACTCTGAATTATCACATCAAAAAATCCTATCCTCCTACAGATATGTCCCTTTTTCAACAACAAGGGGAAAAAAACAGGCTTCAACAGAAAATATCTGCTCTCTGACATATCAGGATAATGTTGTCCTCCTACACACTTATAAACCTGCCAGAAGCATCCTTCCAATTAGTTATAAGTAACATGAATCTTCTTAAAAATAAATAGGTAAGTAAAAAACACCACACTGCCCTTTCCCTTCTTGACTATTCATTTTCTTCTGAAATGAAGCCCATTTTATTTCTAGCAAAAGCGAACTAGTCTGTGAACGCATCAGATTTCCAGAGCAAGCGCTGAACCAGCTTGCCAAATGCCCCACTTCATCCACTGATTAAGTTAATTGAAAAAGAACACATTAACATTGAAGAGCAAAAACAAACTCCTCACTGCATTACTAAACACACGAAACAGCATGTCAGAGATGCTATGTAAATTTTGTAGTGAATTACTGCCATTTCCCAACAAATTACTGCCATATAGAATACCATTTGATTGATGTAACTATCAAGTAGGCTGTGATTTGATCATAAGCATTTTCCAAAGAGTGCTGAACTATAACGCAAAGATGGAAAAAAAAGAAAAAGAAAAAATATCTGTTATCCCATCTGTTATTTTCTGATGACTTTGCTGCAAGTTGAATTTCATATTTTCTCCTGATCTCTCATAAAGCTCCATTAACTATTAATTAACTATTACCAAGATATTCTCCTTCTAGCATCTGCATTCTGTCTCCAGTGCCTATCTCCATGAAAGCAAACACTGAAATAATTTTGTGTAAAATAAAATTAATGACTTGAAGTAGTTGCCACTAAGGGGTAAAGCCTATGGGAATTAACACTTTCAGAGCATTAAAATGATCTCTACATACTGTCATTTTGGGGGATAATCCAATTCCTCACACAGTTTTAAGAGAAGCAGATACAGCTCTGCAGGAGAGGTGGCTTTGGGAGCCTGGGCAGTCTCACAAGCTCCTCTGGACATGATTTTGGGGTGCACAGATCCCCACGGCACCATGTGACTGAGAAGTAAAACTATAGTTGAGAAAAATGCCCATCCTGCAGTTGCTAAAGTTTCCTTGTACTTTATAACACAAGCCACCGAGCTCAGGAGCCCAAAGACAGGAACCGTTTACGCCTGTGTCGGCCTCCCGTGACTGCAGCTACCCCAGCACAGGTCCCCGTCAACAGACACCACGCTGCAATGTATCCAGCACAGAGGACAACCCTTACTTTCACCACACTAACTTTTAAACTTCAAGGTGATGAGTTTTGACAAAGTTTTTTCCACAAGCTTAATATTGACTCCCCGAGGAAAAATAAGGAGCCTAACGTGGTAGTGATCTCCTTTGGCCTGAATTACTGCTCTTTCCCAGGAGCGACCGGCCCCAGCTCCTTCGGGCAGAGTCAACAGAGGAATTTTTCTCTGTTGGATAAAATGAAACTGCTCAGTGAGAAAACTAAGGGTTTTTCTCTTCCACGCTAAGTCATCTTCTCTTTTTAGACTCTTGGGAGAGGCGAATAGATATTACATCAATATGGAACTGCATCTTCATGGAAATGCCAGCTGATTCTCTTAGCGACTTGAGTCCATGCAGAGGGACTCCAGGATACCACCACCATGTTGTATGAACGAGGGAGGCCTAAGATCCACGTAAAAACTCAAACTATCGCACTTGAAGATTACTAAGCCCCCATGTACAGGCTCTGTTCAGCCCCTCACTGGAAGGGAACGAAGCCACCATGACTTAGGGACACTTCACATTGGCAAAGAGCCTCTACATGGGGTTCGACGTCCTTTAATTTAAGCACATTAGCCTCATGCCATTCTGTTACTCATCTCAAGTTTCCTGTACATCTCCCTGGAGATGAACCCTTAATGAAGAAATCATCTGCCTTTGGGCTAAGTAATGGGCTTATATTTACATCATCTTTTGGCAACACAGGCATTTAAGACATAAAACACCATTTCAGTAAAATGGGCAAATTGTGCCATCACGGCACCAAACGTTAAAAGGAGCACTCAGGAGGCTGCTAATGGTATTTGTTTACTCCTGTGAAACATAAAGCAGGCTGCATTTCTGAAAGAGATATCAAACAACTTTAGCACTAAAAATAAAAAAGATAGTTCTGTAATGAAAACAAAGTAAAAAATGAGTTTTCCTGTTTATCTAAAATGTACCACAGAATGCCTTATTGTGCGGTTAAATGACATAATTACACATGGTTTCTGAAAAACCACAAAATGGTCAGCATTTTTTCTGCCTGAAAAATACCCACAAAATTTTAGCAAGAATGTCACACTACCACGACATTTTTATATCCAGACTGTTTAAATTAATGGTACGGCACAATACGTATGCACAAAACAAAGCAGAAATAAATTGCTTTTACACCACTTAAAGTATCTGAAGACATTAAACTTTCTTGAATTAAATTTTAGATT